CCGGTGACCCGAGACTGGGCCCTGGAGGCCGAAATCAGGGAAACGCGGGGATTGCACAAGAAAACGCATCGTCAGAGACCTGGGGGCATCGCACGACTGGCATCATGACGTGAAAGGGAGGACAGATGGAGAGGCTGTGAACCAGATGTATCCCCTTTTCCTGCTGCCATTCAGCTGGGAAGGTAAGCATATGTTTCTACTCCCTGGAGCACGACTGGTCCAGACATGCTGCGGCGATGCGGTGCGAATCATTGCAAACAGCAAGCGTGTTCTTGCCTCCAGTCACGTGTGGAACAACATCTGATCGAACATGCCATTGCTTCGTCTCTGGCAGTGATGAGCTGCGCAAGCTGGCCAGGATCGAAATCGCATGCAAAGCTGGTTGAGATTCCCTCTTTAGGGCCCTCGGCCATGGTGTCCGTCCCTTCTCCTAATTGAAGTCAGAACACTTCTCGAATCTGCAAACTGATGTGCAACGGTGTGCTAATCCGGGCCGACAGGTCAGCACAACGGGCTCGACGTGAGGGCGGACTCCGCGTGCAATCGTGCATCCAAGGACGCGCGCGCTAAAATCTACAGTCAGACGCGCACCCAGCCAAGTCGACCTGCTAGGAACCGAACAGTCACATCGGTCCACATCCTTCCTCCTCCATCCATCCTCCTCCTCCTCTGATTGTCCTCATGTTTGGGAGGCCAGGGGAGGAACAAGCTTAATCTGTATAGTTGCCCTCCTCTGGCCTGTGTATACTTCTGATTCGCTCACCCAACCAGAGTCCGAGAAGCCGTGGGTGAGACACGGAACACACCATGGATGCTGAGCCCGACGAACACAGAGACAGCGACGGTGTGCGGCATCAAACTCGGAGCGAACAGATGTCCCCAAACAACTCCAGAACCCTCAGCGGCACTGCATGCCATACTCAGACCTTGCCACTGGCCTGTTGGATTCCCACGGCAGGGCTGGATGGCGCCCTCGAGACCTGATGCTTGTGACCCTGCAGGCAATCACGGTTCCTCAGGAAAAACCAGGTGGTGTTCTCCAAGGGGTCCCTGGTCAACGACCCACGCACAGTGGCGGGATGGGCAGCAGGCCGCTAAGTGATGATACATCTAGTGCCAAAAAATATTACAGGCGCAAGCGCCCATGTCGAACCGTTTCGAGCGGCGGGGCTGGCCATCGAAAACGGTAACGATGGTCCGAAGGGGCATGGATGCAAGGGTACCCTTTTGAAGGCTACCCATCCCTATCCGGTTGCAATTCATAACTCGAGCACCAACCAACTATTACCACAACCACGAACCTCTTAATCAAGCCACGCCCTTCCGAGGTCTGGTGTTTGCACCGTGCAGACGAGCGCATGACACCGACAAGCACCAACGTGGTGTTCGCCAGCAAATGCTACAGGAGAGCGCTTGGCCCTACAACTCACTACAACATCGGGACACATTGGGTTAGAACAGAAGGCATGCACCGACGTCCGCGGCATGTCCGCCGTCCTGCGACACATGCCCAGGAAAAGCTGGCGATGCTGCCAGAGCCCTCCGAACCTTATCACAGGTCCTCAAATGCTTGACTGAAGAAAAACACCCCTTGTCAGAGCTGTCACTAGAGGGACTGCGTACAGTGGCTCTAAAGCTAGTTGGAAAAGATATCGCGGGGTGCGTTCGTTAAAGCTGAGGCCGAAAACAATGCAGGCTGCGTAGACCACTAACTGATCAGCACGGAGCTGCACTCCTGTGAACCATGGAATGCAGCAGTGAAGCGCCACGCAAGACAGCTGGTACCTGCGCAACCATCCACCGACCCTCAGAGAAGGTTCTATAAAGTGTTTGTTTCAAGTTGGCGCACCTCTCGCAACGATGGCCCAAAACCAACGAACATCTGCTGCAACCTCGCCCCAATCTGAATTTGGTGTTCCCTCCAAGGATATTCCGCCAGAAACTGGTCGAATCTCAATCGCGACCAAACTATTGTCCTTGATCTCCATGCCAGTAACTATTGTCTCCCAGATGCGCACGGACCACCCGCAACACGTCAGTAAATCCAAAGGACAAGGAGGAACAGTGGGACATTCGGAAAGTACACGGGGAAAAGAGACGAGGACTACTTCTGATGCTGATGGTGCTGCTTGATGCTGACTCCCGTCATCACACGAGTCCTAACACTCAGGCCCAAGCAACGCCGAGTCAAAGGCCCCGGACAGCCGATTCTACTGCCTCGCCCATGTCTTGTCTTCTTGCCCCGGGTCTTGCGGATGGCCCCCGGGGCCCAGAAAGGGGGCATCCAGGAGGCAGACGTCGTGGAACAGTCTGCTGCTGCGATGCTCTCGTGGCAAGGGAGGCTCTAGCTAGCTCTGGGTCCACAGAGGCCCAGAGAGGCTACCAGAAGACCCAGGAGGAGGAGCAGGAGGAGGAGGAGGAGGAGGAGCAGGAGGAGGAGGAGGAGGAGGAGGAGGAGCAGGAGCAGGAGCACGGACCACGGACCACACACGCCTCGGCCCCTGCCCTCCTCCTCCCCCCGCCCTCCGACCTTGCAGCGGGGGGGGGGGCGAGGGGTGACGAGGACCCCGCCCCATGTGAAGGGGCCCAGGGACGCACAAGCAAATACACACAGATCCCAGGACTCTCCATAGTTTTCCATACCTCCAGATGTTCCTTGGGATCGACGAGTAATGGTGTCTGTGTGCTCCTTTCCCTCCTGAACATGGTGCCTCCAACATGCGGACCTGGCCGTGGCGACGAGTTGCCCTGGGAGACGCTAGAGTGGCGGGAGGCGCGTCAAGAACGCAGATATGCTCCCATGCATGCCTGTTCAGTCCGCGGCCCCTGACCTCCCGACCCCTTCCCAAGGCCAATTCCTCGCCGCGGATCCACTTGTCTTGAAAGTCCTGGGGTCCGATGACGGACCCAAGAGGCCGAAATGAGTGAGAAACGCCAGGGTTGAAAACACCATATCGTTGGAAACCTAACAACAATTCATCCTCGGCCCTCTTCCGTCCTCATTATCTGCATGTCTCCAGGAGTCTCTGAACAACATCCGCGACGACACCCCCTGAGATCTGAGTCGCGAAATACACGCGACATGTGGAACATCACGGGCGAGCCCCAGACACCGACGTTGTGAGATCTTCTCCAGCCGGGCCGGTCCGTAAGAAGCTTGAAGGCGAAACACCTCGGCGTGGGAAAAGTGGGACGCCCAGATTTCAGACACGAGGTCTTCGGTCCTCGACACTCGATCTATACATGAAGGTCCAGATCGCCGACTCGGCACTTGGCAGGTTCGAAGTGGAGGCGCACAGATGCTCTCACAAACCGACAGCGGGTCGCTGTTGGGCAAGCGATGCTTGCCCCAAACGGACAAGCATCGGCCAGTGTGGTCGTCGTTGCAGTGAGTTCGTGACGTCGGCTGCGCTTGTGCCCCTTTTCCGGCGTGGAGGCCCCGTGGAGGCGTGTGCCCCACGAAAACTCGGCGGCTCGAACAAGCCAAATACTAGTTTGAATTTCGGCGGCTCGAACGGCTCGAAAATTCGGCGGCTCGAACGGCTCGAAATTCGGCGGCTCGAAAGTTGGCACGTTTGTGTAGTTGTCGGCGTCCAGGGGCCGCTTCCGCACCCAAAGACTGCCGAACTCAAAAACAATGCGGGACGAACAAGCCGCCCCTGGGAACGGGTCGAATGCCAGGGGGCCGCGTATGGAAACAGACATCACGACAACGGAACTCTGGGCGAGGATCGAGGATCGAGGATTTGGTCGGGTTGGGGCCTTTTTCAAGCCTGCACCTGAAACGCGTGGCGACCTCAGGAGACATCCTGGGACCTCCTTAGACCTCAGGATATGAGGAGCAACGGGGTGAATGCGTAAGGAAGAGCACCAGGAGAGGGAGGTGGCGGCGGACAACGACGACAACGACATACGAGGAGGAAGGTGCAGGGGCAGGATTTCGCACCTCCAATCGGAGGCGGGCACGACGATGACGATGCGCCACACACGGCGGTATGCCACACCAACTACCCGTCTCAGCACGTGTGCCAGGACTGTTTGTCGCCGCGCGAGTTTGAATGCCCATCGTTTCCACTACGCATGGTGTCAGCTGCAGTTTGTGTGGCGGCTGGCGGCCATGCCACGTGGAGGAGGAGGGCGAGGAGGAGGAGGAGGAGGAAGAGGAGGAGGAGCGGAAGGAGGAGGAGCTGGACGACTGCAGTGGTGGAGGGATGAGGAATTTGAGGCCTTCGACGTCTGGATTGCGCACAGGGCGGCATCGGGACGAGGCGTTGGACGAGTCGAAACGACGACCCCCCCCACACCCCGCGGGGGATTTGACATATATACATGTCTGTAAATGTACATTGCATATATACATAAGCACACGCATTAAGACATTAAGATGAAGGTGTACATCTCTGTATGTAAACACTTGTGTGTACATATACATATAAGCATACCTGTGCATATGTGAACCCGTAACGTGATGCTTTTCTGCTTTCAGAGGGGCCTTGAGCCATACGTCAACCGCGACGCGAATGCACTCAAGCTGATCGCCGCCAAAACTGCCTTCTGCTGCTGCTGCTGCTGCTGCTGCTGCTGCTTGCTGCTGCATGCGCCGCTCCCGGAGTTAAAACTGTTAAAGGCATCTCGGGGTAAATGTGGTTACGTTAGCCCAGCAGGAGGTGTCTGTATTAGGCCTGTGGGCTCGACACACGCCCATCGCTGCCAGCCCGTCTTGGGCCAAACGACAGGGAGCGTCGCATGCTAGAATGCAGCCAAGCGATGCCAAAGCTCCGGCAGTCGCCTCCGCCCCTCGCCCGAGGGTCTGTCCCTACTCTCACCAGTCATTCAGGATCGCCCCCGCCTGGTCGGGCTGAGCTCCTTGGCCTAACCAGGCTCACGTCTCGCCGCCTGCTGGCGTATGCGGCTAGGCTCAGTGGTGCGGGGCTGCCCGCGACCACCTAGACACAGCGACCCTCGTGGCCGCCGCCTTGGGCCCAACGTGGCCGGGAAGGTCACCCCAGGGCACTCCTGGGCGTGAGCCTCTCGATCAGGGGCGGTGCTGCCCGCGCCCTCCTGGATCGCCCGCGCTGGCGCGGTGCTACCCGCAGCCATCGCAGCAAACGCGCCACTGTCAAGATGCCGTGCGGTGCTACCCGCGACCGTCGCATCAAACTCGTTATCTTCCGGATGCGGTGCGGCGCAACCCGCGACCATCAGCCGGGCGGAGCGCGCGCCCCCCCCCCCCCCACGGCCACGAAGGCCAGGGTGGCATGCAGCCGGCGTGCGCCTTCTCCACACCTATGGTGTCTTACGCGCGCATGGGCTTAACGCGTGCAAAGTGCATGTGCAATCGCCGCCCCCAGCCCCTCTCACAGGCGGCGAAGCGGAACTTGCCTGACTAAAGAATCCAACCTCTCGACTGCATGCGCTTTCGCGCCGATGTCGGCCCGGGTCAGGAGCGTCCGCGACCGCGAGCCCGAACTCCTTGTTACCCAACGCCTCCTGCACCCACAACTCCTCGATCGCCAAATGCCGGACCTTGCCGGGCGCGTCCGGCCGCGCATGCCTCGCGCAGCCGAGCTACCGCTCGCAAGGCCCATCTGGCACATGATCTGGTTCGTCTGCTTTCCAATCGCCACCGCGCGCGCGATGCCGTAGAACTCGGCCTCGCCGCTGGACAGCACGATCGTCGCCTGCTTGGCCACGCTGCAATCCAGCATGTGGTCCCCGTACCGCTCCACCGTGCACGAAATTGACTTCCTCGTCAGCTCGTCTGCTGCCCAGTCCGCTTCCGTGTAGACGCATAGGCCACCGGGCTCCTTCTGGCACCTGAAGAGCCACACCTCCGTCGGGTACTTGAGCCACGCGCTGTAGCTGCAGGCCGTGCAACACCTTCGGCATGCTCATCCCAGCCATCACCCGAGACCTGGCGAACTGGATGGTTGGGCGGTCGATGGAAAGGTACAGCGTTCCGCCAGCGCCCTGATTGAAGCTTTTCGCGGCCTCGCCCTCGATCGTCGTGTCTGTCGCGCCTGCCAGCCGCGGTCGACTTGGACGACTGCGTCGGTGCACCCTTCGAGTCCTTGTCGAGGCCTGCCAGGGTCAAGAGATCGTCTCTGTGCTTGGGATTCGCCTGCCACTCGAAAACATCGGCCGTCCACCGTATCGCCCTCCCCAGGTGCTGCCCTTCTGCCACCTCGCCACTGTGGGCGGGCGGCCCGATCCGTGGTAAGACCTTCGCATCGAAGTGCCTCGTCAACACCCGGTCGACCTCATCGAGGGCGGACGCCGTGCCTGCCGTCAAGAAGTCGTCGCCGCGGCAGCACGTCGCGTACCCGAAACTGTCGGAGACGAACATCATGGGCACCACCATCACAGGCCTGTTTCCCGGCACTTGCTGGCCTCGCGCGCCCCATGCATAGCCTTCAGGGCTCGCCAGCCCACGCCGGGAGGCGCCAGGCCACGAGGTGGAATGATTACCACCTTCCCCGACCCGGTGGCGTGGAAAAACGCCACTCGGATGTCGTGCCGGCCGATTAACCGGTCGCGCCGCCCCTTGGCATTGGTCTTCGTGGCCGCCGTGCTGATCATCCTGGGCGCCTTGATCGGCGGCGTGGCCTGGGTGGCGTCCTCCCGGTTGTAGGTGTCCACCTGCGTCGCCACGAGCCTGCACCTCATCGCCTGCTCGCCCTCGGGGTTCGGCTGCTCGTCCTCCAGCCACTTGGGGTCGACGATCTTCAGGCCGAGCGAACGAGCATCCGCGATAGAGATCGGCTCAACGACGCCGAGCCTCACCATGTTCGCGAGCTCGCAGACGCGTCCCTCGCACACCTTCTGCTTGTCCAGCACCGTGCCGCTTTTGACTCCGTCGTAGGCGCGCCCCCAGTCGATGATCTGCTGGGCCCACTCCGAGTCGACCAACTCGGCTGCGGCGAGAAGGTCCTGAGAGCACGTCCAGGTTCGGGTGCTCAGGATCCTCCGCGTGGAGGGGCGGCATGCCGGCCAAGATCCCCTGCTGCTTCCGGCCGTCGGTGGTCGCGTCCGCCTGCATGCCCTCAGCGGGGGGGGGGGGCATCAGGGCAGGGGGCGGATCCACCCGCATCTCCAGTCAGCTCCATGGGAACGGGCCCCCCAGAGCTCCCTGCCGGCATGCCGCTGGCGGCCGGCGCGGGGCCGCCCGCCGCCGACGCCGATGATGGCCCGGCAGCGCCTGCCGCCGAACTGCTTGAACCTCCTGCTCCGGGCTGTTGCTCCGCCAGCGCGGTGCCACCTGCAGCCGGGCCCCCCCCTCCGCCCTGGATTGAGACCCCCTGTCCATGATCTCCTGGAATCGCGTCCGAAGCACGCCGGGCACCCTGGAGTGCCGCCGCGCTGGATCTGCCTGTCCAACGTGATGTAGACGCCCCTCGCAGCGGCCGCCTTCGGCGCATCGCTGGCGCCTTTGGGATTCCAGGGCTCGCCGACCATGGCATCCAAGATCTTCCGGTCCCAGCGCGCGCTCTCCGGGCGCCTCCAGATGGACCGGCGTCGGCGCACCCCGGCAGGAGTGCCAATGTAGCGCTCGTCGGAGGCCAAGCTCTCGCCGACCCGCGCGCCCAGCATCCACCTGTCGTCGAGCTTGGGCATGTCGGGCGCACTCTGCGGGCCCCGGTAGCAAACGGACTCGCCGAACTCCGAAACCTGGCCACGGCAAGGTCGACCGCGAAGCCTCTCGCATGCCGCCCCACCGTCCGATTTGACCTGGAAAAGGTTCAGAAGCCAGGCTGCGTGCCTGACCATAAACGGCAAGATCTTGTGCTCCAAGTCCACCGTCAGGTTGTAGCACTGCTAGGAGGAAGCGCGACCTGAGCGTCCTGAACTGCTTCTCGACCTCGCAGTTCGCCTGCTCGATGCCTCCGTCGTTGGCGCTGGACCCCTTGAAGGTGTTCAGCAGCGCTGTCTCGTGGGCCCCGCTGTCCCGGACGTTTTCGGCCAGCGTCGCGACGGCGTTCTCCTGGTCGCAGAGGATCGTCGCGCGCGTCCGGAACGCGTGCATCAGAGCCACGATGGCGACGGCCAGCGCGCACGGATCGCCGCCCTTGACCACCGTCGCTGCGAAGACGGCGCCGCTGAGCATGTCCAGGCAGTCGAGCACGGACTTCAAACGCCGCGGGCCGATGGCCCTCGCTAGGAAGAAATAATTCATTGCTAACCTGGCCGCGCCTTTGGTTGCGTCAGGGCGCGGGTGATGGGCGCCGTCGCTGGCCTTGCCCATTGCGCAGTGGGGGCTCCGCGAGCGGAACGGCAAGTGCGTGATTTGGCGGGCGTCGAACTCGACCTTCGACACCTCTCGAGGGAGCTTCCTGATCGAAACTGCACGGCTCTCTTCGCTCTCCGGCAGCTGCGCCGGGCCGGGGCGGGGCTGCCCGCCCCCGGACCGCCGCCAGAGGCCCTTGGCTGCTGTTTTGGCTCCTGGGCTGGAGCCTGCACTGGCGCCTGCTGAACCTCAGCCGCCGGTTGCACGGGGCGCAAGGGCGTCGAGCCCCGCGGCCCCCCCACTTGGCACGGCGGCCAGTGCGCCCCGCGGTGCTTCTCCAAATTCACCGCATTGGGAAGTTGGGAAATCCGCCGGAGGTCTGGAGGCGCCTCGCTGGGCAGCATCACCTGGTGACCGGGGCCGAAGACGAACCAGTTGCCCTGGCATGCCGCCTCCCCGACGCTCACGATCAACTTCACCTCGGCCTCGTTCCGCCTCGCCGCGACCTGCCTGCTGGCCGCCCTGCAGACCGAAGCGGGGCTGCTTCCCACTGTCGCCGACGACCGGGTCGTCCGCCACCGTCGGGGCCCCCCAGCGCCCACTGTCGAATCGCCCCAGGCTGCTGGGTCGAATCCTCGTGGGAAAACGCTCGCCCCAGCGCGAGTGTCGATCATGAGGTACTTCGCGTCCGTCCGCGTCGCTGCCAGCACTGGAACGGGTCCGTCCGCGTCGCGGCCTGCCGCGGCCGATGCGCTGCCGCTGCCTGCTGCGGCAGCGGCCTGCGGCAGCGGCCAGGGCTCCTCGAGGGCGAAGGTCGACGCGCGCTGGCTCTGCAGCAGCGCCGACAGCGGCTGCCCTGGCGGTGGCTGGACCAGCGGCGGCGGCGGACCCCCCGAGGATGGCGCGCTCTGTCCTCCTGGAGTCGCGGCGAGCGGCCCCCGCCTGTTCTCCGCCGCGGCGAGGTCCCGCTGTCTTTTCCTGCACTCGCTCTTCACGTGGCCTTTCTTCCTGCAATAGAAACACTCCTTCTCGCCGTTCGAGTTCTTCCCGCCGTCGGCCTTGCCCCCCTTGTCCTTGCCTTTCTCGCCCCCGCCCTTCGGATCCCTGCCCCCTATCGGCCCCCCGCCTTTGGGGTCCTTGCCTCCCCGAGGGATGGCGCCGAGCTGCATGGGAGTCGGCTGCGAGTCGACGCACTGTTGGGTCCGGATGATCTCCAAAATCTCCTCGCGCATCTTGGGCCGCGCGTCGAAGCCGGCGCTGCTCCGAATCAAGGGCCCCTTGGCCCTGGGGCCCTCCATGCCCAGCAGAGCCACGCCGATCTTCTCGTCGTCTATCTTCTTGTTGGACTGGCTCTCGTAGTCCGGCACGGGGCGCTCGAAGGCTGCGAGAGCGCTGGGAATGTCTCCCGTGAACTTGTAAGCCATCGCCTGCATGCGAAGATCGACGACGAATCGGCCCCTCAGCCTCGGCTCCAACTCCAGCACGAACTGGCGCCACGCCTCGAAGCCTTCGTTCACCCCCGCGTTGTGGCACTTGTCCAGTGCCGACCCGGACGTGATCATCACAAGGATGTAGTACAGCTGCGTGCTGAGCCTGGCGATGTCTGGCTCCATCGTGGCGCTCCGAATCGTGACCTGCGACTGCTCTGCATCCATCAGCTTGCCCTGGTACCTGTGGTCCACGGCGCCGAGGTAGGACCTCATCTTGAAGCTCCACTCCGCGAACATCGTCACGTCGCCCGCGAACTCGCCCGGCTTGCCCATCACTCTGGTGTCGACCACCCCGGTCGGATGTGGCGCCGGCTCCACGCGAGGCGCCTGCCTGGCCTGCTGGAGCTCCTGCTGGAGCTGCTGCCTCTCGCCCTGGAGCTGCTGCGCGACGTTTTCCTGTGCTTGCAGCCGGGCGTTCAGCGCCTCCATCGAAACGCGCAGCTCCTCCATGGTGCCAGGGTGCGGGGCTACCCGCTACCCGGTGCTGTGTCGTGCGCCTCGGCGCGGGGCCACCCGCAGCCCGAGGCACTAGCCTGCGCGCCGAAGCGCGGCGCACGCGGGCCGCAGCCCTGCTGGTGGATCGCTGCCCGCGCTTGGTGGGCGTTGCGGCGATCAGGATTGCCGAGCCGTGTTACCACGGCTCCGCTACTATGACGTGATGCTTTTCTGCCGAAAGAGGGGCCTTGAGCCACACGTCAATCGCGACGCGAATGCACTCAAGCTGATCGTTGCTAAAACTGCCTGCTGCTGCTGCTTGCTGCTGCATACACCGCTCCCGGAGTTAAAACTGTCAAAGGCATCTCGGGCTAAATGTGGTGACGTTAACCCAACAGGAGGTGTGTGTATTAGGCATGTGGGCTCGACAACCCGGCGAAGGGGTTTTCAATGATTGCCAACACTGCGTTGCGGTCTTGTCAGGGACCAACGGGGGAAGGCAAACATCCACGCCAGCACGAGGCACAGTGGGAAGCGCGGGTGAACGATGCTTCAGATGATGCCGATTGGCAACGAATTTGCACTTCCCTGCCCCGGCCAGGCCACAAGAGAACCTCGTGGCGGCCGAATCTCGCGCAGGATATCAAAGAGGACTCCCCCCAGGCTTGCACGGTCGGTGCTGTGGGCTGGATGGTGGGCTGCAAGGCTGCTTGAGACAGAACGAACGGCGGAAACATGCACCAGAAAACGCAGTTGTTCCAGACACCCTGTACCCCGTTGTCTGGCTCAAACAGCACGCATTTCTCAGACAGCTTGTGCCCAAGTGTCTGGCTCTTGCGAAGCCGTGCCGCCCTCAACCGTTCATATACTCACCCCTCTTTGTGGCACCATTCATATAGCTGTGTGTATTGTTCTATATATATGTATATATATATATATATATATATATATATATATATATACATAATGTATACATCCATATGCGTATAAAGACTGGTATCTGCACGAGTCGACCTTCGCAGCTCGGAGGGGGAACGCGGACGGGGAGAGGCGAATACTTCACAACCTCGGGCCCCGACCTCAGTCAGTGGGCATCGAGGCGGTGACTGTGCGACAGCACCCCGAATCTGGCGGCCCCCTTCGCACCACACCTGGAAGGCAGAGTCTCGACGCCAGCCCGCACATCCTCGGAGATGTCTCGGACGTCTTGCAGCTGCTCGACAGTGAACGACACGCAGGATATCCGCCACGGAATTATATACACAAGCACCCTCCGACGACCTTTGCACGTACATTCGGAGAGCGCGGCGGTGTATACAGTCGCTGGCTCTCAGTGGTGACTTGTACACCGCCACCCTCCCCTGAGGCCCAGGAGCAATTCATTGGAGGGTGTCTGTGTAAATTTCAGTGGCGGAGGATATCAGGAGCAGCGACCGCGCAAATCCTGTCGCTGCGAGCGAGCCCAGCTCCGACACCGGCGCAGGCGTCGGGCACGCGGCCGGCAGAGCGGCCGCCATGAAGACGACGCAGGACGTCACGAACACGGCCTTGAAGCAAGACAAGTGTCGCTTGATCTTGGCGTAGCATATGCCAGCGAGGAGATGACCAGCAAAAATGGCAACAACTCGCCACGAGCCAATCGACAGGAGGCTCAATCCTGGGAGTCCAGAAACACACCCCGTCTCTAGCAGCCAACCATCATGATATCTACACGCTTTGAGAAAAACCTCTCAAAACTGCCTGCGTTCTTGGGCGTGCAGATGTAACGGAAATGCCACCCTGGATTTTGGATCCCAAAATGAAGATGTCGCTTTCAATCCGGCCTGAGTTCTCCATTGAAGTTTTGGAAGGTCAAACATCGACGGACATGTCTGGGTCAACATTGTGGCCAAAACTTGCCCCAGAACGCAGCACAAAGCGAGGTGGCCTGGGGACCAGGGTCAAGCGAGAACTATCAGAGGGAGAAAAAAGGGAACGCCTAGAACTCAGAGAGAGCATGATCCACCGCCGCTTTACTGTGGAAAATTCCTTCCCCTCCTCTGGAACCCGGGGGTCCCCCCCCCTCCGAAAATCCCCCCCCCCTCCTCCTCTGGACCCCCCTTCCCCCCCCCCGCAAACCCCGCCCCTCCCTTAACCCCCGCCCACCCCCCCCTCCGGAAAACCGAGGGGGTCACTACCTGTTCGAAACCCCCCTCCCATCCGCCGGAAAACCAGGGGGGGTCACTACCGGTTCGAACCCCTCACCCCCCCCGAAAACCATAGGGGGGTCACTATTAGGATGAGATTGGCGGCTGCTAGAAGAAAGGCGCTTTAGGTGGTGGAGCTAACACACTCCGTTGTGGTGTGCAACCCACTTCGATGTGGTCTGCAACCCACTTCATAGTGGTGCACAAGAACTTAGCAACTTGCGATCCACATGCTATATTCCGGCCAAACTTTCCAACTTCTGTAGCTTGTCGCAGCAATTGCAAGTGGATAGTTTTCTCTTCTAGGCGCCCAAGCAAAGTACTTGCATGTACTTACAAGTACTTAGCGTCATATCAAGTTGCACATAGCAAGTCGTTGCTACGTGTGCGCATGTACTTACACCAAGCACGCCACGACCCATTATGTCGAGTGTTGCCCAACAAATGTTGTAGGACAACTAGTATGCTGCAAGAGTTGTGTCTCGCTTGAGTTTACCGAACAATACACCGTGCGCTTGCAAACAAAAGCGTGGTAACGCGTTAAACATAAAACCACATGAGCCACATGTTGCAAACGAAAACCTCAAACACAATTGTGAGGCATGCGGAAGCCGAAACCCAGCACGCGCGATGTTGGTGATGATGAGGACGAAGGCGATGAGGATGACGGCGACGAGATGGCATATGCATATGTATGTGTATTCGTGGATGTGCATGCGTTTGAAGACGCACGTTCGCGCGAGGAGCGAGGAGGGAGGAAGGAGGAGGGAGGATGATTTCGGTGACGGGCAAGAGGAGGAGGAGGGAGGAGGAGGGAGGAGGGAGGATGATTTCGGTGACGCGTGTTACCTCGGCCTCCTTTAAGGCCGCACAGAAACTCCAAATTCAGTTTGTGGAATTCCACCTCTTGTGTTCTATAATGGACAAAACATAACTCCGCACGCGCGTTCGCGCGCGCTCGCGCGTGACCATAGTCACCCGCGCGCGGGTGACCCGTGTCACCTCTGCCTCCCTTACAGGGCCTCGCAAGCAGTTCAAATTCAGTTTGTGGAATTACATGCAGATTTTTCTATCGTGGACACTACAGATCTCCCCAGCGCACGCCGCCGGGCCCGCGGGTGACCCACCCATCGCGTGGGTCACCTCGGCCTCCACTAATGCCTCACCAAAATTCCAAATTCAGTTTTTGGAATTACAATTCTCTTGTGCGCAATAAAGAACTCCATAACCCGCGCTGCCGCGCGCGCGGCGGCGCGCGCGCGCGGGGGTGACCCACCCATCGCGTGGGTCACCTCGGCCTCCCTTAAGGCATCGCAGAAATTCAAAATTCAGTTTCTGAAATTACATGTCGACTTTTCTATCATGGACATCATAGAACTCCGCAGCGCGCGCCGCAGCGCGCGCGCGAGGTGATCGCGCACACGAGTGCGCGCGCGCGTGCGACGGCCGGGCGCATAAGTATTGCGCGATTGCGCGCGCGTGCCCGCGCTCGTTCCTCATCGCGTCAGGGGGCGCGGCGGCTGATTTTTTTGCGCCAGGTGGACTTTGGCGGATGTTGGGAATGTTTCGGGTATCTTGGGGCCATCGTAGGCTGTCTCGGGGCGATCGCCCGAATTCTAGCACCGCAACCCTAACGCCCTACCCCTAGACCGAACACCCTCGCCCTAGACCATATCCCGAACCCCAGAACCATGAACCTATCCTATCCCGAACGCCCCGCCCCCGACCGCCGCCCTCAAGACGGCTTCAAGAAACGCCCCCACCAAGGCGCCACCCTGCTGTCTACGGCCCAGCACGGGGGCTCTAACCATGGCCTATAAGCCTATATGGGGCCACCAGGAGTTAACTTTCGGGGCCCCATGATATTCGGATGTCGGGGCCTTCAGCCTGCATGCGCGCAGCGCGCAAAGTTTATGTATGTACATATATATATATATACATATATATATATATATATATATAGAATCTCAGGGTGCGGCGTCGCAGGGCAACCCAGGGCCGCGCGGTGACAGGGCCTTGAGTTGCTCGGGGGCCCCAGGGTCTCAGGGTCGATGGCCTCGGGGCCCCAGGGTCTGACAGGTCGCGCGGCCGCATTGGGGTCCAGGGCCTTCGACGACGACGGCGCCGACGACCCGCGTTTGGTGACGGCGCGCATTGGATGCAGCGGGGCCCCGAGGTGGACGTCCTGAAGCCCGCGCGGCATTAGCATTCGCGCCCTCGCTGATTCCTCGTTCCCACCTGCCGGCGCCTTCCCACCCCGTGCGTCCGCCGCCCCGTCTCTCGCGCACCTCAGCGCATGGCGCTATCATAGTTTGGCGGCCAGCTACCACCGCACCACAGCGCTCGGCGCCATCAAGCGCGGGCGCCACGGCGGCCAAGACACCGGGAAAATGCGGGGCTGAAGAAAACCATGGAAAGATAAAGGCGTACATGAAAGACAAGGATTCCGCCCTCGACCGGCGCGCGCATGGCCTCGACAACCTGAAGCTCGCCTTGGGGCGGCGCAGGATGGAGATCGCGGGCGCGAAGCGCCTGCGGCGCGCGCAGGTGCAGCCCGCGGCAAGCATTCGCAACCATGACCAGCGAGTCGATGCGACGCAGCAGATCGCCGCAGCCGAGAGCGCATCCGCTCTCGCCAGGTACGCGATGCACGCGACAGAGCGCGCCGCGGGAACACAAGCAGCCCGCGCCACGGTCGCTGCGCGCACGCCTTCGGCAGCGGCAGCCGCGGCGGCCGAGGTAGCCCCGCAGCCCATCACAGCGGACTGCGTTCCGCCCTTCCAAATGTAGGCGACGGAGTCTCATAGTCTCAGTCTCAGTCTCAATGCG